CACTAGCATATTTTGTCTTTGTATGTTGACACTAGCATATTTTGTCTTTGTATGTTGACACTGTAGCATATTTTGTCATTGAATATTGACACTAGCATATTTTGTCTTTGTATGTTGACACTGTAGCATATTTTGGCTTTGTACGTTGACACTGTAGCATATGTTGTCTTGGTATGTTGACACTAGCATATTTTGTCTTTGTATGTTGACACTGTAGCATATTTTGTCTTTGAATGTTGACACTAGCATATTTTGTCTTTGTATGTTGACACTACGATATTTTGTCTTTGTATGTTGACACTAGCATACTTTGTCTTTGTATGTTGACACTGTAGCATATTTTGTCTTTGTACGTTGACACTGTAGCATATGTGGTCTTTGTATGTTGACACTAGCATATTTTGTCTTTGTTGTTGACACTAGCATATTTTGTCTTTGTATGTTGACACTAGCATATTTTGTCTTTGTATGTTGACACTAGCATATTTTGTCTCTGTATGTTGACACTAGTATACTTTGTCTTTGTATGTTGACACTAGCATATTTTGTGTTTGTTTGTTGACACTGTAGCATATTTTGTGTTTGTATGTTGACACTGTAGCATATTTTGTGTTTGTATGTTGGCATTGTAGCATATTTTGTCTTTGTATGTTGACACTGTAGCACATTTTGTCTTTGTACGTTGACACTGTAGCATATGTTGTCGTTGTATGTTGCCACTAGCATATTTTGTCTTTGTATGTTGACACTGTAGCATATTTTGTCTTTGTATGTTGACACTGTAGCATATTTTGTCTTTTTATGTTGACACTGTAGCATATTTTGTCTTTGAACGTTAACACTAGCATATTTTGTCTTTGTACGTTGACACTGTAGCATATTTGGTCTTTGTACGTTGACACTAGAATATGTTGTCTTTGTACGTTGACACTGTAGCATATTTTGTCTTTGTATGTTGACACTGAAGCATATTTTGTCTTTGTATGTTGACACTGTAGCATATTTTGTCTTTGTATGTTGACACTGTAGCATATTTTGTCTTGATAAATTGACGATATAGCATATTTTGTCATTGTATTTGACGTTGCGGTATATTTTGTCTTCGGTGTTTCTGGGGTGCTGCAAACCGGACAATTTTCGCCCTTCGACGGTTCAATCCATTTTCGCCCTTTATTAAAAGCACCGTTTACATTTTATAACTAAAGATATTTTATTGTTTACAATTGTTCGCTGTGATGAGAATATCGGTCCCGTTACGGGTGTCGAAAATGGAAAAAAATATACTGCAGCAAAACTTATACAGTATATGTTTTCTAGTTTAATTCCATTACCTGCTCGATCAAGCTTTCCATTATCACATTGAAGGAAACATGAAAATACACGATGGATTTGAAACTTTCTAGCCCGAAGATATTTAAGCAATTTTAAGGATTGATTTTCGATGGACAACAATTGCTGAACTGTGATCAGCTTGTACGTGGCCGATCGTAAATAACAATCTGGAATCCGTCTGCAAAGGAAATGCAACCCGGTTACCTTATACACTAGGTACATATGTATGTGCGCCAATCAACAGTTAAATACTTGTTGAGATGTCCTGCTGAATTCATTCTAAGAATCAAATAAGTGCTTTGGATTGTGCTAAAATGGATTTATTAACAAGTCCTACGTCGTGTTTTGCGCTATTTTTTGTTGAATTTGATTCCTTCTACTTTAATGTGAAATCCAGACACCCGGATGTTGTCCTGAAAGGTTTTCAGTGCTCGTACAGATCTTGGTCACATCCTTGCAAAGTTTCCGTGTCCGCCGCTACTGATGTAAGTACAGTTTATAATGACGTTGTATGTACTATAATATAAAAAAGGGGTTGATGCATATGATTATTTTCCGGTCCACATCTCTTGATGACGTAATGCTTGTCCATGCATGACATCTGCTTCTCGTGCTTCTGTGTATGCGACGATAATATAACGAGATGTGTGTAGCCACCGAGAGTTGCTGATAGCTACGGAAATAACTGGGTTTTCACGCCAAGTCGATATAATGAGAAAAATCATACGTAGCGAAGAAACCCAATATCTTCCATAACAACGAACCAACGTACTTCTTTATTTCTAGAAGAATTCCCAGGAACAACGATTGACTATGCATCCTCTGTAGAACTTTAAATGTGTCACAAATATGTACGTATGGTTTAATTGATCATGACACTCTTCAACAAAGATCTGTCCTTTCTATATCGTTACCTTGTATTCAATATAAACTGAAAGCTGTTTTTTTTTTACATTTTCATTTACTTTGCACATAAAAAACCTTTTTGAAGTTTCGTTTAAGTCAAAAAAATACTTCCAAATAAATCAATTAAAAATTATATTTATTATGTTTTACCACCTGCTATTTACATTGAATTTTTAACCGACGCAAATAGCGCAACGACGTCATATCTATTAATACAAATCTGGAGTGATATTTTTGAATTTTGAATGTCTTGATTCCTTGTATGGTGATGTCTTTGTAGCAATATTACTATTATTTCAGACCCAAACAAATTTCATTTCGCAATATACCTTAGATAAATAGTTCATTTTATTTAGGAGTTTCAGCCCTATTTCCAACTTATAAATGCCAAAATTTTGTGTTCGTTACAGACTTTAATAGTTTTTGTTTATTGTGAGCTTTAATCTGTTGTTTGTTCTAATGCCTCATTGCCTTATACCTTAATACAATTCATGGTTGCCAATTATTCTTGCTTGCTTGAGCTATTACTGGCTATTGCTCATGTTCGTGAACTATCACTAATTGCTTCTCTCTCTGGTGACATAGTGATTAAGACAGTACGTCAATGTTGTTGCAGCTCATCACGATCGTCCTTCGTCGAATAATAAATGTATTCTATACGTACGATCTCAGATATCTTTAAATATCTTCTTTAAGACTGGATACTTCAAAGTAGAACACCTAAGCTACGAAGTGAATAGGTAAACGGGAAACATCTCCGGATATAACGTATGTTATTTCATTAGATGGTCTGCTTCGAAAATTCAATATTTTAACGACTCCGGCCTACTTATCGGCTAGTAGGGGGTGACGTGTGATGTAACATTTGACCGACTCCAGCCTATTTATCGGCTAGTAGGGGGTGACGTGTGATGTAACATTTGACCGACTCCGGCCTATTTATCGGCTAGTAGGGGGTGACGTGTGATGTAACATTTGACCGACTCCAGCCTATTTATCGGCTAGTAGGGGGTGACGTGTGATGTAACATTTGACCGACTCCAGCCTATTTATCGGCTAGTAGGGGGTGACGTGTGATGTAACATTTGACCGACTCCAGCCTATTTATCGGCTAGTAGGGGGTGACGTGTGATGTAACATTTGACCGACTCCAGCCTATTTATCGGCTAGTAGGGGGTGACGTGTGATGTAACATTTGACCGACTCCAGCCTATTTATCGGCTAGTAGGGGGTGACGTGTGATGTAACATTTGACCGACTCCAGCCTATTTATCGGCTAGTAGGGGGTGACGTGTGATGTAACATTTGACCGACTCCGGCCTATTTATCGGCTAGTAGGGGGTGACGTGTGATGTAACATTTGACCGACTCCAGCCTATTTATCGGCTAGTAGGGGGTGACGTGTGATGTAACATTTGACCGACTCCAGCCTATTTATCGGCTAGTAGGGGGTGACGTGTGATGTAACATTTGACCGACTCCAGCCTATTTATCGGCTAGTAGGGGGTGACGTGTGATGTAACATTTGACCGACTCCAGCCTATTTATCGGCTAGTAGGGGGTGACGTGTGATGTAACATTTGACCGACTCCAGCCTATTTATCGGCTAGTAGGGGGTGACGTGTGATGTAACATTTGACCGACTCCAGCCTATTTATCGGCTAGTAGGGGGTGACGTGTGATGTAACATTTGACCGACTCCAGCCTATTTATCGGCTAGTAGGGGGTGACGTGTGATGTAACATTTGACCGACTCCAGCCTATTTATCGGCTAGTAGGGGGTGACGTGTGATGTAACATTTGACCGACTCCAGCCTATTTATCGGCTAGTAGGGGGTGACGTGTGATGTAACATTTGACCGACTCCAGCCTATTTATCGGCTAGTAGGGGGTGACGTGTGATGTAACATTTGACCGACTCCAGCCTATTTATCGGCTAGTAGGGGGTGACGTGTGATGTAACATTTGACCGACTCCAGCCTATTTATCGGCTAGTAGGGGGTGACGTGTGATGTAACATTTGACCGACTCCAGCCTATTTATCGGCTAGTAGGGGGTGACGTGTGATGTAACATTTGACCGACTCCAGCCTATTTATCGGCTAGTAGGGGGTGACGTGTGATGTAACATTTGACCGACTCCAGCCTATTTATCGGCTAGTAGGGGGTGACGTGTGATGTAACATTTGACCGACTCCAGCCTATTTATCGGCTAGTAGGGGGTGACGTGTGATGTAACATTTGACCGACTCCAGCCTATTTATCGGCTAGTAGGGGGTGACGTGTGATGTAACATTTGACCGACTCCAGCCTATTTATCGGCTAGTAGGGGGTGACGTGTGATGTAACATTTGACCGACTTCAGCCTATTTATCGGCTAGTAGGGGGTGACGTGTGATGTAACATTGGACCGACTCCGGCCTAATTATCGGCTAGTAGGGGGTGACGTCTGATGTAACATTGGACCGACTCCGGCCTAATTATCGGCTAGTAGGGGGCGACGTGTGATGTAACATTTGACCGACTCCAGCCTATTTATCGGCTAGTAGGGGGTGACGTGTGATGTAACATCTGACCGACTTCAGCCTATTTATCGGCTAGTAGGGGGTGATGTGTGATGTAACGAATGTCACAATACTGTACAAATAACCCTGTGTCGCCTAACCACCATTTATTATGTGACCAAAATATTTTAAAAGTTTTACCCAAAATTCAGCTGCACTGTTCAGTAAGCAAATATCTGAATTATTGATAAGAAGTCCGTTAATTTTATATTTTTATTGTTTCTGATTTCTAAGGGTTTACATTATTTGACAAAGACGGAATACACAAATAATCTTGGGGTTTGTGTAAAACTCGTCAAATTTGCACAGCAAACATACGGAATATGAAAGTCTCAATATTTTTTCAGTTAAATTAGGACAAGGCAGTATCGAGAAACCACAGTTTTCATTTGACAGATCCAACTGTTATCTTTAGTAAGGTAATGCAATACAACGTGTTGTACGCATTGGGTTTCTTTTACAATTTGCTGTCTGTTGTCCTTATCACAAACTTACTGATATACGTCTGGACTTTAATTTTGTTTCGTTTCTGTACGCATCGTTCCACGCTTATACCTGTTACTATAATGTTTTACTAAACGACCCATAGGTTTTGATATATCGGTAAAACAAGCAACGCCCCATAATCTTGGTATTTCAAGATGGTATTCCTGTGATTTAATAAAAAAAAACACACTGTGTTCTCAAATCCGCTTCATCAAAATGTTTTCCCTTACAAATCTCGTACACAGGATTGTCTCGTGCAGCGTGTGATGATTCGGGGATATTGTTTGGCTTCAAAAAGTTGGACATAACGGTATGGCTTCCTTAACGATATTATACGCACATAATATTCACGAAAAACAAGAATGATTTATTCTGTAATGCATGTAACAGCCAAATACCAGACTGGTCAATAGAAGGAAAACAAAACGCGAACTAGAAAGGTTGACGCTCTTTTGCAATCCAAAATGTACATCGATTCTGGATCAAAATCTATGCCTATAAACAGTGCGTTGTACGTGTATGGTTTCCTCTATAAACGAGAAGTAAATTAAGTTCGCGAACTAAAATACCAGACTTTGCTCCTAAAGCACAAATAAAGCTCTGACGTATTGACATTTATCACAATTACGTAATAAAAAGAAGACCATAACGCCACATGCAAGTAAAAAATAAGTTGCCTTTGGAAAAAATCCCTCGTTCATTTAATATAAGTTACGTAGCCATGGAACAATGTTATTTGTAGTGTAAATCAGATGTTATTTAATTATTCGTATTTGTATTTTTACACTTTTGGTCTGTCATGGCGAGAATATTAACCACATTACTCTAACATGTTGAACACATGTAGCGACTTATATAATATATATACGGCTAGAAAACAGTCTTATGTAAGAATTGGTTATGACATTCCAAGATCCGATGAATATGTCCTATTGATATAGGCAATCACTGTCTTTCATTTAAAAAGAGATGATATATAGCTGTCCTAAAATAGAATCGTGATCACCTACATATGTAACCATGGTCACATTTGTATCACACAGTTATTCTAGTTAAAACAGGAAACAACTGTTCCGTCGAAAAACATATCCAGTTATGTCCGTTTTGATTTCTTCAGTGCGTTTACTTTTCTTCTGCTACCTTAAGAGAGTCAGTTGTTTCTTTGTATATTTTATCCCATTTTGTCACTTACACTTGATAACTTAAAGTATAGTTAATATCGAAATATTCTGATTTCGTTCGTTTATATTAATCTCGTTACGTTATGCTGCCAGGTAGGGCTACAATATATAAATAACTTTGTTTTTCCACCGAATTCCGTAACTTCTGTTCTTGCAATGGATATGTAATATATACACCGCAAACCTGACCAATCAGAGGGATATTACATGCCACGGGGATCTTCTCCTGTGACGTCATCCCTCTGTTTGAGGGAGTGCTATACTTCCGGTTTTCCGAGTAGTTCCTCTCCAGTCACCACTCCATCACCTGGTAGAATTAAGAATTAAAACATCTTACATATCCGATAAGTTTATTCGAGGAAATATGCAGGTATCTTGTGTTACAAAATTTATGTTGCACACATTGTTTCCACATTAGCTAGTAAACACTTCTTGAAAAATAGCTTTTCGTCCTTTGATTTTTATATTTTTGATGTAATCATTATCCGTTTAAAACATTTTTCTAATATACATCAGTTTATAGCCCACATCTATCTTGGACATGTTTGTAAACCTGATTGAAATCGTATTCATATTACATTAAAAGTAGAATTTCTACATTGATTGTTATCTGCGATCGAATGCTTATTTACTACACCACCCAGTAATATAAAAAATATATATCAAGCTTGTTAATGATTAAAATGACACATACTCAGTTGTTTAGCGAAGCGACATTATCATTTATATATATATAAATCTATTATCTTAACATACATTTCGAAAGTTATGTCAAATCATTAAATTATATTAACGTGTTTTTTTTACTTTTTAATATACAACAGCCTGAAGTGACGAGTTTACGTTATATGTTTCCTCACTCATAGATCTTCGTAAGAATATACATTTAAATTACTCGATAAGATATTAATACATATAAGGAACATACCGTTTGTGTCTACGAACTTCCGAATCAAGGCTTCTGCAATTTCTGGGTGGTCTGCTAATTGTTCCGTTAATTCTTCCACGCGCATTAAAAACCTAAAATACAATTAAGAAAATGATAATTATTTACATTCTTCATACTTTTGTCGGCAGAGTTTTTGTAGGGTTAAAAAGAATGACCACACATGAACAAAGACAGCATGATCAACCTAAAACACACCATAACAAAGTAAAGACAACAACAGGATACGGGGAAATTAAAATCGGAAAAAAGGCGAAGACAAGAAGGTAATTGATGAGACACCAGAAACAAAGAAAGGCAAAGAAAGGAACCAAGGAGACACAAAGACATCAACAATCGTTATGACAACACAACAAATGATAACAACAACAACAGGAAATCGTGGTAACAACAGAACAACGAAAGGACAACAACAGGATTCGGAATCTGTACAAACGGAAATGCATTTACGAGAACGATCGTGACGTCTATTTAATTTTGTAGCGCCTTCATTTACACATATACTTAACACATATTTTGTTTTCGACTTTTTCGATGGATTTATTGAGTCTCCAGCCCGTTATAGTTCAAATAAGCACAAATAGGTATTTTGTTATTTAGTGCTTAGGAATACGTCAATCAGCCATATAGGCATTGGGATAATGATATTAACAATTACCTACACTGTATAGCTGTCTCTTGGTATATCAAACATTTTAAACAGATTCAGACTCAGAAACGGAACGTCGCTAACTTCTGGGGTTTGACGCAAGATTTTTATTCGCTTAAATCCTCCTTTTTCATATTTTTAATTACAATATTTGCATCGTCGAAATTTGAATCTAATATAGATAACATAAATTCTGTATGCTTCTTAACCTTCTCACCGATCCTTCCCCTCACACAATCCACTTTGAGATGACAACATCTCTAACAGATTTTCATTTAATTTTTCCCCTTTATAGAATGTAAACCTTTGAAATATATATTTTTCTTCTTTTTTTTACTGAAGTGTTTTAGGTATAATTGATGCGAACTTATATTACCGTAGTTCATTGTATTTGGTGTTTTTATAGCAGGACCTCTAACCCTGCAAGACCTTTAATTCATCGTTAGGAGGAAACAATTATAATCCATGATTGTCGGTGAAATGGTTCATTTTAACTTTGACAAATCCTTTTTGATACAGTACCTGTAAATAAAATAAGTTAACAACGGGTACAAGTTCCTCGTACGAAATTAGTGCTGTGTGAGGTTTGTTGTTTAAAACTTAGTGATTAGGACATTGAAATAAAAGTGTCAATACAATTTCGTCATAAACAAAAAATAGATGAACTATTTGCATTACTTTCCGATTATCTAAAAGTCAGGTTGACAGGGTGTCCCTGTTGTATCATTACTTTAACGCCATGTCTCCATAACTTGTCGAACGAACTCGTGACTCAAAAACATGCAACCAGATTGGTGCAAACATTTTACACTTGCATCCGTACTTAACACACCTTGTATGTCATCTATGGAACACCTAGGTGGTTTGATGATCCGCACGGGTAACGATGGTGTAACATTAAATGCAATACCGCGTACTTAGCATGCATCTTGATTTGTGTAAAAAAGGTACCTGACAATATTCAAAAAACCACTTAAACAGGAGCAGAGAGAGGGTTGTGAAGCCTGCCTAATGTCATTAGCATACATTTAAAACGACGTCAATAGCGTTTGCCCTTTTTATGTCCTTCTATCTGTTTCAGGTTAAGCGTTAATTGTGTGCTTCGGTGTCACCTTCACGTCCATATTAATGCTTTAGATAGAAACCCATCATTACAGTAAATACCCTAATATGGCTGTTAACATTTTACATGGAGCGTGAAGTGTTCCTGAGTAGATATTACTGTCACTGACAACATTGTCTATAAACCTTTAACATTTGACATGGAGCGTGAAGTGTTCCTGAGTAGATATTACTGTAAAGGACAACATTGTCTATAAACCTTTAACATTTGACATGGAGCGTGAAGTGTTCCTGAGTAGATATAACTGTAAAGGACAATATTGTCTATAAACGTTTAACATTTTACATGGAGCGTGAAGTGTTCCTGAGTAGATATTACTGTAAAGGACAACATTGTCTATGAACCTTTAACATTTTACATGGAGCGTGAAGTGTTCCTGAGTAGATATTACTGTAAAGGACAACATTGTCTATGAACCTTTAACATTTTACATGTAGCGTGAAGTGTTCCTGAGTAGATATAACTGTAAAGGTCAACATTGTCTATACACCTTTAACATTTTACATGGAGCGTGAAGTGTTCCTGAGTAGATATAACTGTAAAGGACAACATTGTCTATAAACCTTGAACATTTTACATGGAGCGTGTAGTGTTCCTTAGTAGATATTACTGTAAAGGACAACATTGTCTATACACCTTTAACATTTTACATGGAGCGTGAAGTGTTCCTGAGTAGATATTACTGTAAAAGACAACATTGTCTATATACTTTTAACATTTTACATGGAGCGTGAAGTGTTTCTGAGTAGATATTACTGTAAAGGACAACATTGTCTATACACCTTTAACATTTTACATGGAGCGTGAAGTGTTCCTGAGTAGATATTACTGTAAAAGACAACATTGTCTATATACTTTTAACATTTTACATGGAGCGTGAAGTGTTCCTGAGTAGATATTACTGTAAAGGACAACATTGTCTATACACGTTTAACATTGTACATGGAGCGTGAAGTGTTCCTAAGTAGATATTACTGTAAAGGACAACATTGTCTATAAACCTTTATCATTTTGACGTTACAGATAGGATTTTTTCTTTTGTAGTTATTAGATTTCTTATAATGTCAATATGGCATTGAATGATCATGTCTTGGTATGGGTTCTTGTACTATGATTGGTCATCTACCAACGGATTTATTGTTTAATCATTGTCATTTCCTACATAGTTAGTTGGAGTACGATGGTACATTTGTAGTCATATTTCTAACTTGAGGTCGTTTTAAAATATTGAAAATTCTATTAATTGAATTTGGAAATGAACTTACGTGAGGACTTTTGAGCATTTGCTAAGACGATCATATTAAATTGTTTATTTTTTTCAGAAAAACCTGACCTATCATACATAATTCCAATTACCGGCTTTGTTGTGATATAAATGGTTAATTAATTTTGAAACTTCCTTACAGATCTATCCCCGAATTCATTTCAAGATATTCTAATCTCTCGTTGTGGCCTGTTATTTACTGGTATTGAACCTGAAGTATGGGAAAGTAACTACGAGTGTGAAGGCATGTGTTGATGTGTTTGGTAAAGTTCAGGAATTCAAATACGTAGGCAGGGCGCTAGGATTCCACGTCTAACCGACAATTTCTCTCTCACTTAGACGCATCTCTGCAATTGACATCTTGTCTCTCCGTGATAGGGTAATTGAGTTGGCAAGATACACAATAAAACGTCAGTGATAGCTTAGGTTAGGCATGTACTAAACCATAAACGGGCAACGTAGTGAAAAGTACGGAGAACAATTCATTTAGTGCAGTATGATTAATTTAGTTTGTCTTTCAAACAGATGCCTATCACAGTAAATTGAATGATAGAGTTTGAATTAAGACGCTGTCCGCGTGTTTGATTGACGGTTGTTATTAGGTAATTGACATTGATTCTACATGCTGCTTTACTATTAGCAAAACATTTGTGACGCACAACATGTCGGAAACACACTGACTATAAATTTCTGCTCATATCAAATAGAAACGATCTAAGATATGGGTTGGTTTGTAGTAAAACAGTTTCTAAGTACATTTATTTCTTTAACGTTTTTTTTGTTATCATGCTAGCGTTGTTATTTATGTATTTTTGTCCTTAATAAGACATGATTCTAGTTCTAAATCCTATGGTTACTTGCATTGCGTACTTGATTATTGAATATTTTGACAATATGATTATGTTAAAGAAGGACACATTACCTGACAAGAATTCGATAATTACCATAAAAATTCGTCGGCGGCATGTACCACAATAAGTGCAGTGTTAAAGTTCCATGTGATCATAGCAGTAGAAGTGTTTCAAAACTAACTCTGCTTCCTTTTACCCAAATACGTTTGTGATGACGCATACTTCATTGCTTTACCATCGTTCTATAAATTAACAAAACACACTTTGGTGAATGGTTTGTTGTTTTTGTTAGTAACATTAACGTTGTATTTATTTTCTAATTTTACAAATTGTGATTTTTGGTTCCTCGAAATAAAGGAAACGAATCAATGTCTGCCCATGGTTAGCAGTTCAATCTAAGTTGATGAAATGCCGCACTAAACCATAACTACAACCCAGGAGTGTAATAGTAACATCGCTCATTTCTTTACATTAACTTTCAATACGACAAAGCTGGTGACCCCAACATCAAACACTTCTAAACCATGTGTTTTAAATTCAGCCATTACCAAGCCATTTTGTTCTCACAAATAACATGTAAGATTCTCCGGCTAGTTAGGAAACAAAAAGTTGAATAAAACTTCAACAACCGAGACTAAGTCACATCATTCTGATGTAGCCTCCCGACGGAATCAAAGTGATGTACTGACCTCGGCTTTACTTCCTTTTCATTTGCAGAAAAATAATGTAAGTTGTACTGCAATGTAAAGACAAAATCACTTCAACAATTTTAACACGTAATTTGGTAAACAAGCGTTTGTAAAGGAGACGATACTTTCTTGTATTATATAAGTCTGATATAGGCAATAGTACTCAACTAGTCATCACATATGCTTTAAGCTTTAAACAAATTCTACAGGGAGAATTGTAGTGCATTTCAAAGACAGTAGCACTACAACATTTGGTTTACAAGTTTGTGTAAATAGAGAATATAGTATATAGGTCTCTAGTAGGCCATACTACTTTCACAATTAGCACATTAACCAATTTTGCAAAGTTTCTCTGCAATGTATCCTACGCGTAATTAGTAGAGACAATAGTTCTTTTTCCGTCTCCACAAGAACCTGTTTCAACAGCTCTTTTCGGTAGAGTTTCACTTCAATGTAAAGTATATACACACTTTCTCTTTTTGCTGTATGTCAAAAAAT